AAAAAAGAAACAGAGATGACGAGGATAAGAAATTGAGAGAAAATAAGCAAGAGTGTGAGAAAGAGGAGCAGAGATGGACTGGGAGAGGCCCTGGCAGTCAGGGACAGAAGGTGGGAGAACTTGCCAGTGGTGGCAACATGGGGGCCAGGGCGGGTCAAGGCCCTGGGTTTGGCAGCAGAGATGAAAGGTGACAGGGAGACAGGGGCCACGGAGCAAAGAGGACAGAGCTGTGGCACTACAGGCTGACCCCACTGGTGAGAGGGAGGGGATGAGGCCTGGGGACAGGCAGAAAAGAACCTGGCTCCAGGTATCCCCACCCACATCTGAGCCACAGCGTGACCTGGACCAGAGCATGAGCTGTGAGAGCAGGTAAGGTTTCGCTTTGCTTTGGGTAGCCCTTGGTCATGGGGTCTGGGGGGATTTCCACTAAGGTCCTGGATCTAGAGGCCCAGGCTCGTGTATTATGGCCACTTCTTGGCATACCTTGTTGGTTTACTTGAGGACCATGGGTTCGGGGTTTACTTGAGGACCATGGGTTCAGGGTTTACTTAGCCTGGTCTGATCTCTCAGAGACACCTGGTGGTCTCCTTTTCTAGGATCTGCAGGAGAGTATTATGTTCCAAGGAACACAACAGAGTCTCTGGGGCCAAGAAAAACCTGTCTGGGGTCTCTGAGCCCTAGACCAGCTCATTTAGAAGGGTCTTTCTGGAAAGCTCTGCAGGGGGGCGAATGGAGGTTTAGGGAGGTCCCTACGGCCACCCCAGTTATGCCCCTCACCTGTGTCTGGAAGGTGCCTTGTATCTGGGGAGGGAGTCCCTGGGCGCCTGGTGGTGCCCCAGGAGAGAGTGTGTCCAGGTGCTGCTGTGGTGATCCCCTTGGCAAGGTCCTCTCCTGAGGTGGAGTCCCAGGTCCAGGGGGGATAGTCATCATAGTCTGTGTATCCTTGGGAGAAATCGGGACAATGGTTGAGCCCTGTCTCCTCTCTCCTTGCTGCTACTCCTCCCTCCCCTTTTGGAATGTTCTGGAGCAACTCTGGGATCCTCTCACCCCAACCCCCTCATGCCCAGTTCATTACATTCCACCATGATGCAGTCACCCTGCCCTACCCCGACACCATTCCCTTGGCCACCTCCCCTGGGCCAATCCCTGATACCAGTGCAGGTGAGCCCCACGTCTTCCTCATGGTCACAGTTGTGCTTCCCCCATCCCCCCGAGGGGCAGTCGCTCAGCGAGGCTTCGTTTCCCTTACAACCCATGTCATCCAACCAGATGGGCCCAGTCCCAGGGCCATAGTGGGTTTTGCCCACTCGGGGCCGGACCTTTCCACAGCCCAATTCCCAGCAGGCCACAGTGGCATCCCGTAGGTCCCAGCTGTCATCACACACTGTCCCCCAGCGTCCAGCATGCCACACTTCTAGCCGGCCGGCACACCGGTTGGGTCCGTCAGCCAGACGAACACGGACAGGGCCTGCCAGTGGAAGGCCCTTAGGTCAGGAGGGAAGGGTCAGCTCTTCCCTTCATTCCCCTGTCCCCTGCACATTCCCACCACTCACCTGATTCTCCAGTGGCGCTAGCAGTAGGGGAAGGGCCTGGGTCTTTGGATGACTCTGGAGATCCTTCTGCTGGGATTTTGGCAGATGGCTCCAGGGAGGCCTGAGGGATTTGCTTGGTGGTGGCCTCAGAGGTAATATCTTGGGGACCTTGAGTGGCCCATTCTTGGTGGGCCTGAGGAGTCAGCGTTGTGGTGGTGTGTGAGGTCCGTCTGTGAGGGGCATCAGTGGCCAGGGTGGTGGTGATCCGTGAGGTTATTACTGGGGGGCTTTGGGTGCCTCGGCCCCTGGAGTGTTTAGTGGTTGGTATCACTGGGGATTGAGTGGTTGGTCTCTTTGCATTTTTTGTCACCCATTTCTTAGTACTCTTAGGCATTTTCTCTGGGGCCTTAGTGGTTGTTTT